AGATGTGGCCTCACCAGGGCTGAGTAGAGGGGCAGGATCACCTCCCTCGACCTGCTGGAGATGCTCTTCTTCATGCACCCCAGGATCCCATTGGCCTTCTTGGCCACGAGGGCACACTGCTGCCTCATGGTCAACTTGTCGTCCACCATGACACCCAGGTCTTCCTCTGCAGAGCTTGGACCTTGGTCTCCTCGGTGTCCAAGCAGCACCTTGGACCCCATCACAGTCCAAGAAGATGCAGCAGAGGGTTGACTCATCCAAGCTCATGAGGCTCGGCGGTCCCCAGCCCAATAACTGTGTCCCCTGTCCCTTGCAGATTACGGACGGATGACAGAGCTGAGCAGCTCGGCACGGCCCTTCCATTCCATGGGAGCCATCTACCTCTCCGCGAAGGCCGAGGACCCCAGCAGCGAGACGGCCCAGCTCGTCAAGGAAGACGCTGCCCTTTGAGACCATCCCCGCGCCGCGTCCCCCGCGCTGCCGTCACCGGGGTCCCCGGCGAGGATCCCTCCTCCGGGATCGCAGGGACCTCGCGCTCCTCCTCCTTCCCACACACCTCTGCATTCGGTGCATGTCTTCCTGCTCCCGAGCTCCTGTAGATGGGCACCACGGAGCTAGGTCTTATGCAGCAGGACAAGATGCTCTCCAGGACCGCCAGGGCTGGACATTTACAGCAGCCGGTCCCACGGGTTGCACTCAAAGCCCTGGGGGTGATCCCAGCCTTCCACCATCTCCTTAATCCACTCCGGGAGCCTCTGTGCAGCTCCAGGAGATCCAAAGAAGCCTGCGGGTATGTCGGCATGGACGAGCCCAACGAACGAGGCAGAAAAGTTACCAAAAACTGCTAATAAATGAAAGGAGGAGAGTGTCCCCAAGCTTCCACACGAGCGCGGTGAGGGAGACGGGCTCCTTCGTGGGCTGAGCAAGGGCCAGTGGTGGCTCCCAAGGAGTTTCCTTGGTTCTGCCCTTGATGCTGGAGCATCACACACCACGTTTCAGCGTGGGGAGAGGCCGCAGGAGCTTTGGTTTGGCCCGTGCGCAGGGTCCTGCACCTGGGTGGGAAGAACCCCAGGAAGAGGGAGGGATTAGGGATTGACCTGCTGGAAAGCAGCTCCATGGAGAGGGATTGGGGAGTCCTGGGTGACAACGAGTTGTCCATGAGGCAGCAACGTGCCCTGGTGGCCAAGAAGGCCAATAGGACCCAATGGGATGCAATGGGATCCAATGGGACGCAATGGGACCCAATGAGATCTAATGGGATCCAATGGGCTCCAACGGGATGCAATGGGATGAAACGGGATCCAATGGGCTCCGATGGGATCCAATGAGATCCAGTGGGATGCAACGGGACGCAATGGGCTACAGTGGGCTCCAATGAGATCCAATGGGATGCAATGGGTTGCAATGGGATCCAACCGGATCCAATGGGCTCTAACGGTATCAAATGGGATGCAATGCGATCCAATAGGATGCAATGGGTTGCAATGGGATGCGATGGGCTCCAGTGCAATCCAATGAGTTGCAATGGGATCCAATGGGATCTAAGGGGCTCCAATGGGTTGCAATGGGATGCAATGGGCTCCAACGGGCTCCAATGGGATCCAGTGGGATGCAATGGGATCCAATGGGTTGCAATGGGATCCAACGGGCTCCAATGGGATCCAGTGGGATCCAGTGGGATGCAATGGGACCCAACGGGATCCAATGGGCTCCAATAGGATCCAATGGGCTCCAACGGGATCCAGTGGACTCCAATGGGATCCAACAGGCTCCAACGGGGTGCAATGGGCTCCAGTGGGCTCCAATGGGATGCAATGGGATCCAATGGGATCCAATGGGATCCTGGCTGCAGCAGGAGGAGCGTTGCCAGCAGGTCCAGGGGGGGGATCCTGCCCCTCTGCTCCACTCTGAGGTGGCACCAGGAGCATTGGGGGCAGCTCTGGGCTCCCCAGGACAAGAGGGACCTGGAGCTGCTGGAGAGGGGCCAGTGCAGGGCCACAAAGATGATGAAGGGACTGGAGCATCTATGGGATGAGGAAGGACAGAGCGAGCGGGGCCTGTCCAGCCTGGAGAGGAGAAGGTTGAGACGGGACCGGGTCAACGTGGTCAAGTACCAGAGGGGAGAGTGTAGGGAGGAAGGGGCCAAACTCTCCTCGGTGGTGGCCGGTGACAGGACAAGGGATAACGGGGACAAGTTGAACCCCAGGAGGTTCCATCTCCATGTGAGGAAGAACCTCCAAAGCCACCTGGATGCCAGTGTGTGTCCCCATTCCGGGTGTCCCTGCTGGAGCAGGGGTTGGACTGGGTGATCCCAAGAGGCCCCTTCCAACCTCCACCGTTCTGGGATTCTGGGATTCTATGTGGGTACGACACTACCCCACTGCTAGTGCTTCCACAGGGTGACAAAATTCCCCAAAATTCCCAAAATTGACCCCAACTTATGGCCAATGCCCCATGCAAGGTAATCGCTTCCAAGGGGGGATATGTTACCTGGGAAGTGTCCAGATACTCCTCTCAGGTGCGGATGTTGCCATCAGATGCTTTGGACGAGGGGGGATAGTGGGATTTTGGGATGCGGGATGTTATATGGGGGGCAATCAAGGTTGAAGGAGCTCATGAGGCTCTAGGAGAAACATCTTGGAATGGATCAACAGGACAGGACGGTGCCTTGGGAGATGGCCTGAGCGCTCTGCAGGACCTCGAGCAGCACGAGAGCTGCACAGGGCTCCTCGGGAACGGGGGTCACCTCCTTTCCCTGCCAACTGCAGTCTGTGGGGAATTCCTGGTCATAAGGGTTATCCGCTGGACACAGCTCCAGGACACGAGAACGGCTTTGAGGGAGAGCTCTGGGAACAGCCACCTGCAGCCTGAAGGAGCAGGAAGGTCTTCCCCATCTGAAATACATTGGATGCACCGTCCTAAACCTGCTTTTGGCCTCCAAAACATCAAAGATCCCTCCAGATCCCATAGGGGAGGACGCCCATATCCAATCCGTGGATCAGAGCCGCCCATGTCTGGGAGCTTGCCCAGGAGGATGTTGTGAGGGACGGTGTCCCTGCTCCGGGTGTCCCTGCTGGAGCAGGGGCTGGACTGGGTGATCCCAAGAGGCCCCTTCCAACCTCCACCGTTCTGGGATCCTGGGATTCTATGTGGGTAGAGACACTAACCCCACTGCTGGTGCTTCCACAGGGTGACAAAATTCCTGTGGAATTACCCCAACTTATGGTCAATGCCCCATGCAAGGTAATCGCTTCCAAGGGGGGATCTGTTACCTGGGAAGTGTCCAGATACTTCTCTCAGGTGCGGATGTTGCCATCAGATGCTTTGGACGAGGGGGGATAGTGGGATTTTGGGATGCGGGATGTTATATGGGGGGCAATCAAGGTTGAAGGAACTCGTGAGGCTCTAGGAGAAACATCTTGAAGTGGATCAACAGGACAGGACGGTGCCTTGGGAGATGGCCTGAGCGCTCTGCAGGACCTCGAGCAGCACGAGAGCTGCTCAGGGCTCCTCGGGAACGGGGGTCACCTCCTTTCCCTGCCAACTGCAGTCTGTGGGGAATTCCTGGTCATAAGGGTTATCCGCTGGACACAGCTCCAGGACACGAGAACGGCTTTGAGGGAGAGCTCTGGGAACAGCCACCTGCAGCCTGAAGGAGCAGGAAGGTCTTCCCCATCTGAAATACATTGGATGCACCGTCCTAAACCTGCTTTTGGCCTCCAAAACATCAAAGATCCCTCCAGATCCCATAGGGGAGGACGCCCATATCCAATCCGTGGATCAGAGCCGCCCATGTCTGGATCTGTCCTGAAAAGAGCAGGAAAAAAGGAGGTTTTGCCCTCAGGGTTATCATGTGTCCGCCCAATGCTCCCACTGTTTTCTCCTTTAAGAGAAATTCCCGCTTGGAAGCGGGATATGACTTAAGGTGACAAAACTGAAGGTGCCACATCCAGAGCATCCTGAAATGGTGAAGATGGCACCAGGTCGCCTCCCGAGGTTCCACCCAGCTCAGGAGGACCCGGTTTTCCCGT